GTGTACATCTTTTAAGTCAAATTCTTAAATTTAATCAGTCAATTTGAATATTAAGACATTTGGGCTGTTACCAAACAAATTAAATCGGTATCAACAAAATTCACCTTTGCAATGCAAAGGAAACACAGAAGCTGCATCTGAAGTGCCATTTAGATGTATTTACACACTGGTTAATGTAGAGGGACATGAATGCATTTAATCTGCGGTTACAAATGCATAAATATTGTTTTGATATTTTAAACACAACATGTTAAATACTTATATTTGAAATTATAAAAAAAAAATGAAACTATACTTTAAATGTGAAAATAAAACTGCCAGTAGGTGGCAGCAATGTTAGTTCACCCATAAAGAATAAGAATTTAGGCCTCCTGTAGTGAATCCATGCGTTTTTGTAAAGAAAATTATCCATATTTCAAACGTAATAAACACTTTTCTATCACTTCTGGTATCTGTCATATGCGGAAGCCGTTCCGGCGGATGACGCAGCACGTATGCGCAGCGCGCGCCTCTGAGATATGCTAGTCTCGCAAGTTTGTTTACAGGAGCAAAGCAAGCAAAGTTTCCTTACTTTAGCAAAGGAAAACCAGTCTCCTCTTGGTTTATATCGAAATCCTCCAACATTTTTCTTTGCAAATCCTCGGTTTGTACTTCTAATTCATGGCCGGCATTTTGTTTTGTTCTCTCTCCATGTTTGTCACTAATTACACAACGCCGACGTCTTACGTCATCCGCCGGAACAGCTTCCGCATATGACAGATAACGGAAGTGAGAAAAAAGTGTTGATAGAGCTTGGAATAGCCAGGACAATTTTTAATATAACTCCGACTGGATTCGTCTGAAAGAAGAAAGTCATATACACCTAGGATGCCTCGAGGGTGAGTAAAACACCAGCTAATTTTCATTTTTGGATGAACTAACACTTTAAGTGAGTCATTGCGATTGAACCGAATAATTTAAATGGTTGATTCATTCAGGAACGAAACACCGTCAAGTTGCTCAGAGATGCAAAACAGAGCTGTTGCTTTGTTTGAAATTATTTTTGTTGGTGAAATAGAGCAAAATCAGCCAATATGGTGTCTAAAACTTAAGTTTCTTAATGAACTTACTGTTTATTGAACTGTTGTATAAAATCAATATCACATTTGTAATCATGCTGTTTTTTTGGAGAGAGAAAAAAAACAGCTCTCTTTGTGTGATATTGATTAACTATATGAAATTATGTAAATATATAAATTTTCTGCCCCCATATCTTGAATTTTGGGATCATTCTAAGTAGGGCTGCACGATTAATCGAATGCGACTGTCATGCGCATTTTGTTAGTAAAGCCGGTTCTGTAATCAGCAGTAAACCGTCATCACGTGCTTTCAGATGGAGCAGCATTTACTACACAGAGCCATAGTTCACTGA